ACGGTCTCACTATGTAGTTGAGACTGAGCTGGAACTCACTATGTAGCCCAGGCTGGTCTTGAACTCACAGCGATCCTCCTGCCTCAGCCTCCAGAGTGCTGGGATTACAGGCATGCGCCACCACACCCGGCTTGAGATGGCTTTTTTGAAGAGGCAACTTTGAGCAAAGATCTGAAGGCAACTAGGAAAAGGCTTTGTGGAGATTGGAGGAAAAAGAATTCCAAGCAGCTGCATGGATCGTGCAAAGGCCCTGAAGCAAGACTGAGCCTCACAGTTTAGAAGAATCAGGACACCTGTGTGGCTGGAGCAGAGGGAGCGAGGGGCAGAGAGACGGGGCGGGGGGCAGCGGAGGTGCAGGGCCCTGTTGGTTGCAGGGAGGACTTGGGCTTTGGCCCCCAGGAGGTGGAAGCCCTGCAGGGCAGAATGCAGACTGGGAGGACCTGAATCGGTGCTCACGGGCGCCCTCTGGCGGAAGGGAGGACTTGGGCTGTTAAGAAAGGAATTTGGTGGCGATTTTGTGCTAGAGAGTATGTGATTTGATTTAGGTTTTCCTAGGATTTTTCTGCCTGCTGGGCAAAGATGGGACATGGATGGAAGCAATGAAAACAGTAATAATAGTAGGACTGGGAATGTAACTCCACGGCGGAGCATTTGCCCAGCACGTGGGAGTTCCATCTCACCACAATAGTAATAATAATAATTATAATAATAATAACTATTATTATTGTAGTAGTGAGGGTGCTATTGCACATAAGGTAGCTATAGACAACAGTAATTCGCTGTACATGTCAGACAGCCACAAGAAAGGATTTTTAAGCTTTTTACCGACAAATGAGAAGATAGATATGTTTATACCAAGATGACTTGGTATAAATATAGCACAGTGTATACACATGTCAGAACATCGTGTGGTTACCCCATAATGTTTTGTTTTTTGGTTTTTTTTTTTGAGACATGGTCTCACTATGTATTCCAGGATGGCCCTGAATTTACTATGTACCTCAGGCTGGCCTTGCACTCAAAATGATCCTCCTGCCTCAGCCTCCTGAGTGCTAGGATTACAGTCAGGCAGGGCCTGGGATTTATCTCAGTGGCACTGTGCCTGCCTAGCAAGTGCAGGATCCCAAGTTCAGTCCCTGGTACTGGAAAAACAAACAAACAAACAAAAATGGAATGCATGACCAGGCCCAGATAATATGTACAATTTTTATGGGTTTTTTGGTATCAGCTAAAAAAATAAGTTTTGGAGTTGGGCATGTAGCTCAGCTGTAAAACACTTGCCTGAGTGTTTACAAGACTCTGGATTCCACCCCCAGCACGGCAAAAAATAATCAATTTTAAAGTAAATTTGAGGGCTGGGGATCTAGCTCAGTGATACCACTGCCTGCGTTACAAGCGCAAGGACCTGAGTTTGATCACCAGTACCAAAAATTTTTAAAAATAAAAACAAATACATTTGAAAAAAAGTTTGGATCGGGGATGTAGTTCAGTGGTGGAGCCTATTCTTAGTATGTGTCAGACCTTGGCATAATGATGTAGGCCTATAGCCCCAGCACTCCAAGAAGCTCAGGCTCAGGAGGGTCACAAGTTCTGGGCAATTTAGTGACTTAGCCAGATCCTGTCTCAAAATGAAAACAATTTTTTTTTGGTACTGAGGATCAAAATCAGATCTTTGCACTTGCGAGGCAGGTGGCAGAACCATTGAGGTAAGTCCCCAGCCCTGAAAACATTTTAAGAAGGGCTGGGGATGTAGCTCAATAAAAAGGCCCTGGGTTCAATCCTCAGCATCACACAAAAAATGGGGGAGCTGGGATGTAGTTCAGTGGCAGAGCATGTGCTGCCATTGTCTCCCACCCTGCAAAATTGAATTAATTAGTATGTAATACAATAGTAGTTATTAGTAGGTGATTAATCCTTGTATTTTTTTTTTTTTAAGTATCTGGGATTGAACCTGGGGCCTTTACCCTGAGTTACATCCCCAGGCCCTTTTTGGCGTTTTATTCTGAGTCGGGATCTCTCTAAGTCAAACTGCCCAGGCTGGGCTCAAACTTGCCATCCTCCTGCCTCATCCTCCTCAAGTGCTAGGATGACAGACATGCGCCCCGACACTCAGCACCTTGTATGTTATCATTTTTGCTTTTTTTTTTTTTTTCGGTTTTTTTGAGACAAGGTATCACAATGTAGCCCATGCTGGCCTCAAACTCAAGCAAATCCTCCTGACTCAGCCCCCTGAGTGCTAGGATGACAGGTGGGAGCCACCACGCCCCATCAGGGGCCGCTCTGTAACCATCAGGGGCCCTGCAGGTTGAGCAGACACTTGCGGGGTGGGAGCCCCTCATAAGCGTCCCCGTGGTCCCCCCTTTCCCTCCTCAGGCCAGTCGGGAGCCGGCAACAACTGGGCGAAGGGTCACTACACAGAGGGCGCGGAGCTGGTGGACGCCGTCCTGGACGTGGTGCGCAAGGAGGCAGAGAGCTGCGACTGCCTGCAGGGCTTCCAGCTCACGCACTCGCTGGGCGGTGGCACGGGCTCGGGCATGGGCACCCTGCTCATCAGCAAGATCCGCGAGGAGTTCCCCGACCGCATCATGAACACCTTCAGCGTGGTGCCCTCGCCCAAGGTGTCCGACACCGTGGTGGAGCCCTACAACGCCACGCTGTCCGTGCACCAGCTGGTGGAGAACACGGACGAGACCTACTGCATCGACAACGAGGCCCTGTACGACATCTGCTTCCGCACCCTCAAGCTGACCACGCCCACCTACGGCGACCTCAACCACCTGGTGTCGGCCACCATGAGCGGCGTGACCACCTGCCTGCGCTTCCCGGGCCAGCTCAACGCAGACCTGCGCAAGCTGGCCGTGAACATGGTGCCCTTCCCGCGCCTGCACTTCTTCATGCCGGGCTTTGCGCCGCTCACCAGCCGGGGCAGCCAGCAGTACCGCGCCCTCACCGTGCCCGAGCTCACCCAGCAGATGTTCGACGCCAAGAACATGATGGCCGCGTGCGACCCGCGCCACGGCCGCTACCTGACGGTGGCCGCCGTCTTCCGGGGCCGCATGTCCATGAAGGAGGTGGACGAGCAGATGCTCAGCGTGCAGAGCAAGAACAGCAGCTACTTCGTGGAGTGGATCCCCAACAACGTGAAGACGGCCGTGTGCGACATCCCGCCCCGCGGCCTGAAGATGGCGGCCACCTTCATCGGCAACAGCACGGCCATCCAGGAGCTGTTCAAGCGCATCTCCGAGCAGTTCACCGCCATGTTCCGGCGCAAGGCCTTCCTGCACTGGTACACGGGCGAGGGCATGGACGAGATGGAGTTCACCGAGGCCGAGAGCAACATGAACGACCTGGTGTCCGAGTACCAGCAGTACCAGGACGCCACGGCGGAGGAGGGCGAATTCGAGGAGGAAGCCGAGGAGGAGGTGGCCTAGGACCCCCGCTCGCTTCTTGTCCGCCCCACAGCTTGGCTTTGACCCCTGGGCGCCCTCCCTGCAGAGCACCCCAACCCCAGCAGCACCCAAATCGCTGAGTTCCCTAACCCACATTTGACCCCTGAACCCCGCTTTTATCTCTGAGCCCCCTGGAATTCTTCCAACTTTGGCATCCCTGTGATCCCTGCTACATGCCTCTGAAAACCCCACCTTCAACTTTATCAGCCCTCTTTCTCCCCGACCCCTTCACCTTTGATTGGCCCCCGAAACTCCATTACACGCCTAGACCCTCAAGACCTGGATGACTTTCGGCCCTTGTCCCAGAGCTGCCTTTGCCTCTTTGACCCCATGAGCCCCAGCTCCCCTCTGACCCCCAGCTGCTTCCTGCTTCTTCCCTGACCTCATTCTCCTGTCCCCTCAGCTCCTCCCACCTTGGCTGACTTAGGGGAGATCAAAGGCCTGCAGCCCTGAGAAAGAGGGGTCCTCACCATGAGCCCCACCATCCTCTCCCCCGCCTCGCCCTCCATAAATAAAGGAATTGTTTCCCTGGCCTGTTTCTGTAGAGTTCATCCCCCCTCCTGGTGCAGCAAGCCAGGCCTTCTGGCTGGAGGGTGGGGTGGGAGCCAGGGATTTAGCTCAGTGGTTCCACCCCAAGTTCAATCACAGGTACCACAAAAGAAATTGAACCCAGCGCATTTGCACTGAGCTGCATCCCCAGTCCTTTTTTTTCAGTTTTTCATTCTTTTGAGACAATGTCTTGCCAAGTTGTTGCCCCGGCTGGGCTCAAACTTGTGATCCTCCTGCCTCAGCCTCCCAGAGTGCTGGAATGGCAGGCATGCCCCGTGGCTCCCTGCTCGTGCCTGGGTTCTGATCTTACCCCTGGCCCCCAAGTGACCTCCCTCCAGGCCGGCTCCTTTTGGTAGCAAAGCCGGCTGCACAAGAACCAAGAGCCAAGCAGAGTTAGGAAGGGGAAGCATTTGAGGCCCACTGAATCCCTGTCTGCTGTTGAGAAAGGTAAGGGAGGTGCAGGACCAGACACGGCCCACTGTGGCAGGACAGAATGGAGGGTCTGGCCCCGGAGCCCTCCTACCTCTTGCCCACCCGGCCGAGGCAAGGCCAGGAAGCAAGGGTTTCTCACTGCGGGTGGGGGCAGGGCCCTCCGTCCGGGGACAGGGACGTCACTCTCGTCAAACTTCCTCTGTCAGCCACACAGGAAGCTGAGCCAGCCCGGGGCCCAGTCCCAGCAAGCACAGGCCCCAGGACCCCGGGGAGAGGGCCAGCCAGGCCAGCCCTGCAGGGACCATGGGAACAAGAACTGAGTAAGGCTGCCCCTCCCTCATCCTGTGGGCCAAGGTCAGCCCGGGATGGGGACAAGGGAAGCGGGGTTGGAGCAGGCCCGGGAGGCACCTGGACCCACGGGGGCAGGTGGCTGGCTTCAGGGCGGGACCTCAGCCGGCCTCCTCCCGGTTTGTGCTCTGGGGCCTGCTCAGCTTGCTCCCTCTCCTGTCTCTGTCTCCCGCTCCAGTTCAGGGACTCAGTCTCACTCTGGGAGTGTCTGTCTCTCTCTCTCTCTCTCTGAGCATGTGCCTCTTGGGGTGTCCTCGACCCCAGGTCTCGGCACCACTGTGAGATGTGGGGGACAGGGAGGAAGGCAGAGGCAGGGCGTCCTGGCCCCCTGTCTCCGGGAGGGGTGCAGGGCCAGCCATGGGGGCAGGGAGTGTGCAGCTGAAACAGTCAGAGACACAGACAAGCCCCAGTGTCGTCACACGTACCCAGCACCACGAACGACCATTCAAGAGCAGGCAGATGTGATGTAACGCACCTGCACACCTACTCTGTCACACAGCAGCACCCCACAGGCCCACGGGATATTCATCCTCTCAGGCAGACACCAGGCAATCATACAATCTCACGCGTGCGCACACACGCACACGACGCATGCTCACACAAGTCAGGCACTCACACACACACACACACACACACACACACACGGCTGCACTATCTCGCTATGCACAAGCAACACTGCTGCACATATACCTTGCACGGCCACGCACTCACCACCAGGGCTCACATTTGTGCTGAGCGGCAGATAGAACAGCGCAGACACAGAAGCAAAAGCCCTGGACCCCTGAAGCCCTCTCTGTCCCACAGAGAGGGTCCCACCGCCGTGTTTGACTGGTTCTTTGAAGCAGCCTGCCCTGCCTCCCTACAGGAAGGTAAGTGGGGGGCCCTGGGGGTGGGGTGGGATGGCAGTGAGCTTGATGCCCTGAATTTAGAAGCCTCCCCCCTACAGATCCTCTCATCCTGCGGCAGTTTCCCCCAGACTTCAGGGACCAGGTAGGTATTCAGGGGGCCCCTGTCTCCTTCAGGACCAAACACTGGTGGGCCAGAGGGCCGTCATTGCTTTGGGTCTGGAGCCCAGGGATGGGGACCTGACCTGAGTGACCGTCTGTGCTTCTCCCCACTCTAGGAAGCCATGTACATGGTGCCCAAGTTCTGTTTCCCTTTTGATGTGGAAAGGTATGGAAGACACAGAGGAACCCTAAGGATTAAACACCCAGAAACTTGAGTTGGGACCCTAAACCCAGGGACCTGGAGACCAGGGACCCAGACCATCGGGACCCCGAGGAACCTATGTACATGTGGACCCAGAGGATCGAGGACTCGGGGTTCCCAGGGGACTCGGGGACACAAAGACCCTGACTGTTTCAGATCCTTTCACCCAGCAACCACCAACGATGGAATCAGCTAGTAAATGGCCAGAAAAACTAGGCCCCTGTGCAGCCCAGCAGCAGAAGCATCCCCGGAGGGAATGGGGGGCTGGGAGCTGGGCCGCCAGGTCTCCCCAGAGCCTTTGCCACCTGCAGGGAGCCGCCCAGCCCTGCCGCACATCACTTCACCTTCGCCCTCACGGACCTGGCTGGCAACCGCAAATTTGGCTTCTGCCGCCTACGCGCTGGCGCCCGGAGTTGCCTCTGCATCCTCAGGTGTGGGCTAGGGGGGATCTGGGACAGGGTGGCAGGCATCACCGAGGTCTCTCGGGACCTCTGGAGCCCGACTCCTCTCTCCACAGCCGCCTGCCCTGGTTTGAGGTGTTCTACAAGCTGCTGAACACCGTGGGGGACCTGCTAGCCCAGGACCAAGTGAGACTCGCTAGCTGCCCCAGCCAGGCCGGAGTCGCCCAGCCTGAGCAAAGCCCTCGCAGTCTAAAGAAAGGCGCCTTCTCGCTCAGACCCTGCCCTCCGCTCCCCACCCAGGTCTCGGAGGCCGAGGAACTTCTCCTAAATCTGCTGCAGCAGGCCCCACCCGGGCCCCACGCCACAGGGGCGCTGGAGCTGGTGAGTAGCCCCCCAACTCCCAGGCAGTGGACGGGAGGCTGCGCCCGGCCCTGACGACCACACAGCTCTCCCTGTCCCCCAGGGCAGCGGCCTGGCCATCTCCAGCGGGCACGGAGCCCCGCCCCCTGCGCCCGGGAAGAGCAGGCTGGTGAGCGGGGTTAGGGACCTGGGGGGTGGGCGCCAGGGGCACCAAGCCCAGGACTGATCGGGTCCCCTGGCCAACGTCCCCACAGCTTTCCTGCTTTGTAGCTCCCGACTCCGGCTGCCTGCCTTCCATTCCTGAGAATGTGAGTGGGGAGGCGGGAGGGCACCGAGGGGCGGGGCCGGTCCCTTAACCCGGGGAGGGGGGGATGCAAGACCGCGGCCCGCCACGCCCAGCGCGCGCCCCTCTTTGCGCAGAGAAACCTCACGGAGCTGGTGGTGGCGGTGACGGATGAGAACATCGTGGGCCTGTTCGCCGCGCTGCTGGCGGAGAGACGGGTCCTGCTCACGGCCAGCAAACTCAGCACCGTGAGAAAGGGCCAGCCGGGCCCGGGGCGGGGACAAAGCTTGCTCCGCCCCAGGGGAGGACGCGACAATCCGGCGCTGATTCCCACCCACCGAGAGCTGAGGGCAAAGTCCTGGCTCGGAGGGGAACCGGGGCGTCCTGCCTGTTCGCCGCGCTGCTGGCGGAGAGACGGGTCCTGCTCACGGCCAGCAAACTCAGCACCGTGAGAAAGGGCCAGCCGGGCCCGGGGCGGGGACAAAGCTTGCTCCGCCCCAGGGGAGGACGCGACAATCCGGCGCTGATTCCCACCCACCGAGAGCTGAGGGCAAAGTCCTGGCTCGGAGGGGAACCGGGGCGTCCTCTACCCGCCTCCAGGCCAAATGCGGGTGGGGCTAACGGCGACTCCGCCCCATGGGCGTGGCCAGCAGGTTGAACCGCAGTCTCAGTTTTAGGGCCGGGGTCAGTGGAGTCGCCCCTAGGGATACGACCGGGGCGGGCTGAATCTTAGCTCTAACCTTAGCCCCGCAAAGATGGAAAATACCATCTCTAAGTGACTTAAATTATCCATACAATGTAAATGCTTTGTAATATGGCATCCTTTAGGAATACTGATGAGAAAATGTCTGCACATGTTCAATACGGATGTAGTTGGGATGCTGGGGATTGAAGCCATCACCTTCTCGCTGAGCTTTTTTATTATTTATCCCCAGCCCTTTTTTATTTTTTGAGACAAAAGTCTTGTTAAATTGCCAAGTCGCGCAGCAGTCTGGGCTGGAACTTGCCGTCCTCCTGCCTCAGCTTCCCAGAGTGCTGGGATGACAGGCGTGCACCAGCATGCCCGGCTTACAGATATAAAAATTTTCTGAATATTTTTGACCCGAGGTTATTTGAATCCGGGCATACAGAACCCTGCACCCCACCCCCATACCGAAGGCCGCCTGTAATTAGCCCTGTGCACTGGACTGCTAAAGAGGTCTGAGGTGACGTCTCGGTACCCGTGGGGGAGACAGGACAGGAGACTGGGGAGGTCTGAGCTGCCATGCCAGGTGGGGCAGGGTCCTTGACCCCAGGACCCCCTCTCGGCCCCCAGCTGACCTCCTGTGTCCACGCGTCCTGCGCCCTCCTGTACCCCATGCGCTGGGAGCACGTGCTGATCCCTACGCTGCCCCCGCACCTGCTGGATTACTGCTGGTGAGGACTGGGGGGGGTCGCTAAGGAGCGCCTGGCCTAGCTAGGGAAGAGGCCAGGAGCCTGGCGGGGCTGGAATGACCCGGACCCTCGTCTGTCCGCAGCGCACCCATGCCCTACCTCATCGGAGTGCACGCGAGCCTCGCGGAGGTGAGCGGGAGCCCCGCGCCCGTGTCCCCAGATGCCCTCCCGGCCCTGGGCTCTGAGTGCCCCCCCAACCTCCCCCGCAGAGGGTGCGGGACAAGGCCCTGGAGGACGTCGTGGTGCTGAACGTGGACTCTAACTCCTTGGAGACGCCCTTCGACGACGTGCGCGCGCTGCCCCCGGACGTGGTGAGCGCCGCCCCTCCAGGCTCTGGCTGGGGAAGCGTGGCCGAGACACCTGCCCATCGCCTCTCTCCCTCCTCTCCGGCAGGTGTCCTTGCTGAGGCTGCGGCTGAGGAAGGTCGCGCTGATCCCCGGGGAAGGGGTGTCCCGTCTCTTCCTCAGAGTCCAGGCCCTGCTCTTCGGGGGGTACCGCGACGCCCTGGTCTGCAGCCCGGTGAGCAGCGGGGACAATGCGGGGAGGGATCGCTCTGGTGGCTTTAGGAAGGAGTCGCAAGGTGGAAGATGCCTAGCGCTCATGGGGGGGGGCTGCTTTCCCCGTCTTTTGCTCACCTGTAAAATGGGACCCCACTAGTACCCACCCGAAAGGCTCTGTGCCGCAGGCACTTGAAATCGTTTGTAGCACACGATGGGCATTCCGCTGAGGCTGGGCTTGGCTCTTTGTGTTCAACGCTCCCGATATTCTGAGACAGAGACTTTTACAGCCCCATTTTACAGAGAAGGAAACTAAGGCTTGGAGAAGCGTACTGAAACCAGGGCCTTCATCTGCTCACTTCTGAGAGCTCCTACCCCTCCCACATTTTTCACAACTGTTCCATAAGAACTTTGGGGGAGACCAGTGCAGTGGCGCTCACCTGTCATCCCAGCACTGGGAGGCTGGAGGAACGCCACAAGTTGGAGGCCAGCCTGGGCTACATAGTGAGTTCAAAGCCAGCTTGAAATACATACTGAGAGGGCCGGGGATTTAGCTCAGTGGTTCTGTCACCTGCCTCGCAGGCGTAAAGACCAGAGTTCAATTCCTGATGTCAAGAAAAAAAGGAAAGAAAAAGAAATACATAGTGCGACCCGGTCTCAAAAAACAAAACAAAAAGAAAAACCCCACAAAACAACAGCAAAAAAAAAAAAAAAAAAAAAAAATTGGAGTATCATAACCATATCTATTGCTTTTATTTGTTTGTTTGTTTGTACTGGGGATCAAACTTGGGACCTTGCGCTTGCGAGGCAGGCGGCAGCACCACTGAGCTAAGTCCCCGGCCCTCACATGCATATCTAGCATTCTTGTCAGCTCTCTTTTTAGGACACAACCTATAGATGCCCACTCCCCCACCTACTCCCACCAAGCAGGCTCTTGCCCTTGCACCCATAGTTTATGGGCCATGCAGGGCCCAGCGGTTACCTGTCACATCCCTGCTCTGCCCTCCCAGGGCTCCCAGCTCCCCGTAAGGTAAAAGTTCAAGTCCTCCCGGCAGCCCACGGGGCCCTGCACGGGGACAGGTATGCAGCAAGTGCCTGGTGTATGTTGGCTCCATGAGTAGGCAGGATGAGGGTGGGAGAGCCGCAGGGACCCAGGATGATGCAGACCCTTCCTCCAGGGCCGGCCAGTGGCCTTCAATGAGGAAGCCTTCCTGGCCCAGAAGCCTGGGGCGCCGCTGCAGGCCTTCCACCAGCGGGCTGTGCACCTGCAGTTGTTCAAACAGGTTCGCAGATGGCCAGGGGGGTGGGTTGCATCCCTGGGCTCCTGGGGGTGGAGCTGGGTGGTCCCTGGGTGGGGCGGGAGTGGACAGTTAGGTCCTTGGGGCCAGGGTGGTTCCAGGGTAGGGCAGGGGCAGACTCCCCAGTCTGGCAGACAAGGCAACAACAGACTTCTCCGGTTGTATGGGGGGAATGGAGCCTCTCTGGTGGGATCTGCCCACTGCAGGGTCCCCAAGTGAGACAGGCAGCACTAAATTCTGGGTCCCCAAAACTGGGAGCCACTGGACTCCTGAGGGCCAAGACCTGTTTCTAGGCCCCTGTGGGATGAAGGTGAGGGTGAGGGTTCCCAAGCAGGGATACTCCAGGTTAGGGATGGCGGCTGTGCAGGATTCCAGAGTTCGGGCCCTGCCTGCAAACTCCTTCAGGGCTGTGTAGCGCCGCCGTTCCTCCTAGGTCCTAGAATGCATGGAGTGGGGCTGGATTCCAGAATCCTTCAGGGCAGGGCTTGGTCCCAGGGTTTGCAAAAAGAGGGCGCTCCATTCCTAGCTTGCAGATGGGGGTGGAGTCTTCGGGAGGGGTGGAGTCTGGTCCCTGGGGAAGGGTGCCGATTTGGGGGTGGGAAGAATTAGGTTTCTGGTACCACGGATGGGACCCACGTTCCGGGAAGCCCTGGGGGTGAGACGCGTCTCGACCCTCTCCCCCACCCCAGTTCATCGAAGCTCGGCTGGAGAAGCTCAACACAGGGGAGGGTTTCTCTGATGAATTCGAGCAGGAGATCACCTGCTGCGGGGCCTCCTCAGGTGAGCCTGGGCCCGGCTGGGGTTCCCAGCCCCCGTCTGCCCCGATGACCACCTGCTTTGTGCTCACCCACCCCAGGCATCCTGCGTTCCTATGAGCTCTGGGCTGACAACCTCAAGGTAAGGACACCAATCCGCCCCTCGTTCCAGGATTTAGTTTCGGTGATTAGTTTAATCCCACGGTAGGCCCCGGGAAGGATCATGATTATGCTCTTTTATCCAGGTGAGGAAATGAAGACTCACAGGAGGGGGGCTTGTCCAGTAACAGACAGCCTGGAGTGAGGATCAGGGCCTGGGGTCCAGCCCTGGTGACCCTAGCGTTTTTCCTTTGGTCTTTCCTTTCTAGAAAGGTGGCGGTGCCCTCCTGCATTCTGTCAAAGCCAAAACCCAACCAGCTGTCAAGAACATGTACCGCTCGGTGAGGCTGATCTGGTCAGGGCACATTCCCTGCGGTGACAAGGGGAAGGGGACACAGGACATTTCTACCCTTCAGGGGAATGGGACATTTTGACCCCAATACATGCACATATTTTTATCAGAATCGAGTCAACAATTAAACCATTAAAAGTTCTCCGCACTTTTATTTTCCATTGACCATATTCACTTTTCGGAATTTTTTTTCTTCTTTTGGTACTGGGGATCAAACTCCAGACCTTGCACTTGTGAGGCAGGCGGCGGAACCACTGAGCTAAATCCCCAGCCCTCAGAATCATTTTTTTATCCATTTCAAATCGACTACCAAGATTCATTGGCGAGTATCTTTGGTCATCCTCCGATACTGCATCCCAGCTTCCACACTTATGGTTTTCTCCCAAGCCCAGAAGTTTCCTGGGCTTGACTTTGGGACAAGTGACCCAAGTCTGCAAGGTCATTGTGCCATTCTCAACCCTCCGCAGAGGTCATTTCTTCCAGGAATACTTTCAGATTAGTGGGTGCGGGGAGTTTGGGCAACTTCTTAGGTGGCAGCTGGGGAGGAGAGATCATTTCGGGGGCACACAGGGATAGGCAGGTGGCCAAGTGCGGTGTCTCCCCTCGGGGACAGAGGGCTGATCACAAATGCCCAGTGCCCAGTCACCCTCAGATCTAACCCTCCTGTGGCTCTTTCACAGGCCAAGAGTGGCTTGAAGGGTATTCAGAGTTTGCTGGTATACAAGGTAAGTCTCCTTCAATGACCAAGTCCCCAAGGGCGGTGGGGTGTGGCCCATAACCTGCATCCTCTTCCTAGGACAGGGACTGTGGCCTGTACAGGTTAGGCTCCCTGAGGGCCCCATCGCTCACCAGCCGCTCTGAGTGCCTGCAGCAGCGCCTGCCTATTACCCAGCACTTCGGACAGGTAAGAAGTCCTCCTCCCCACATACCCGGCACCCTGATTCTGCAGCTCCCGAGGTCCCCACCCTTCCCCTCTGTACCCCTCTTTTGCAGAACCGGCCCCTGCGCCCCAGCAGGAGGCACAGGCTGGAAGAGAGAGCTCCTGAGCCCACGGGGGAGAGGTGAGGCTGGGAGCTGGGGGGCTCAGGAAGTGGACAGCCAGGACCCATAGAGAGGGTCCCCAAACTCCACAGCAGCCCAACCAGGGCTGGGGGCACAGGGGTCTCAGGCAAAGAATCATCTGGGGCATCTACTCAGGTCACCCCCTTCGAGCCCTGACAGTCCCCAGGGCCTGTGGGCAGAAGAAGCCCTGGACAGCAGCTTTTTGGGGTCTGGAGAGGAACTGGATCTGCTGGGTGAGATTCTGGACAGTCTAAGCGTAGAAACCAAGAGTGCAAGCAGCCTCCGGCCCAGCCAGAGCTTAGACTGTTGTCACCAAGGCGACCTGGACACCTACTTCAGCCTGGTGAGAGTCCCCAGGCCCAAGGCTTTGCCCACTTGCTCATCCACACCCCCAGTGACTTCCTCATCTAAACTGCCAGAGCCTCGCCCTTTCCCTCCCCCCACCCCTGCCCCACCCAGCCCGACAGACCCGGAAGAACCAGCTGGCAATCAGATGCCGAGACAGCGCTGCAGCCCCAGCCTCGCTCCCTGCCTGCGGACTTGTCATCCCTGCAGAACACACGCTCTCTGGATGCCACTCGCTGCCCCCAGCACCCCGATTCCCAGCTGTCCTCCAAGGCCAGCCAAAGCCTCCTGTGTCCATCCCAGCTCTCAACAGCCGCTGCAGATCTGAGCACCAAAGGGGACCCTGAGTCCTCTCCCCTCCCTGAGCCCTTCCACCTTCCTGTCCTCCCTCCGCACAAGGCTGCCGAGGGTCCCAGAGCCCAGGGCAGCCCAGGCTCCAGGCTCTCTGAAAAACCCACCTCTGACGCTACCGAGACCTCCCAGTCACTTGATTCCCCCGCAGACCTCAGTTCTCCAGAGAACCCCAGAACCCAGCCCCCCGAGGTCCTGCTACAGCACGCTGGCCTCCAGCTACCTGAGGAGCAGGGAGTCCCGGATCCCCCTACTGTGCTCACCCAAAGCTGGCAAGAGCCCCAGGCTGGAAGGCATCCCCGAGTAGCTGATCTAAAGAAGCGCTTTGAGAGTTAGAGATCAGGGGTCCAAAAGAGACCCCAGTCCTTTAATAAAGCCACACACAGCCCAAAGCTGGCTTTTCCTGGTGAGTTTCTCCGGGGTCCTCTCGGCTCAGACACCCACCCCAGCACCACCTTCACCAGTAGGATGCTCCTTGGGGAATCTAAAGCCTTTCCCTCTGGGGTCCCACCCAGTGTTCTAAGATTCTTGCAACCTTACAATTCATCTCTGCTTCTGTCTTGTTCATCTACGCTAACGCTCCCACGAGCTCAAAAAAAAAAAAAAAAAAGACTTTATTATATCTCACTACCACGTTATACGTTATATAAATATATAAAAAGCGAACAGCCCCACCCTCCCTTGCCCTCAGGGGCAAAGTCTTTAAGCACCTTCTCCCCTTCTAGTCTTAAGCACTGGATGAATCTGATTGCCCAGAGAGGGCGCTGCCTTCCCCCAAGGTCACACAGCAAGCAAGGGAGATGGATGAAGGAAAAGGGGACCTAGATGGGCAGGCAGCCCCGCACCGTCTCCTTGGAGTCCTGGGGGGCCCGGGCCTCAGCTGCATGGGAGAACTGAAAGAAAGGACAGGGGGCTGTTGGGCCTGTAGTGGCAGTGGGACAGTACACAGCAGCACGAAGGTGGTGGGCTGCGACAAGCGGGGAGGCGGGTCCCCACCCCCAGTGCACCTGGCTGCATGCAGCGTCAAGCAGAGACAGCATGCTGCAGAGCCCGCCAGCCCAGTGCCCCCGAGTCCCCCCAAGTCCTCCTGAGCCGTCAGAGGCTGGCGTCTCGGTGGCGGCTGCTGGGTGCCACGGTGCACTGGGCAGTCTTTCGCAGTGGCGGTGGCTGTAGCTGGCCCCAGCGTTCAGATGAGCCGCTCCTCCGGGGGCAACTTGAGGTTAGGGGGTGGTGGCGCACGGGCACCCACCTGCTCCTCACTGCTGGGCCGGTAGGTGCCCTCCGTCTGCCGTTTCTCCCGGAGTTTCCGTACCAGGAACGCCAGCCCCACAGCCAGGACCAGGGCCCCCAGGATGGAGAAGACCACAATGATAGCGGTGAGGCCCCCCTGAGACTGGGCAGGGCAGGAAGACAGGTGTGACCACCTGGGCCTAAGGGTCCCACCGGCCCCCTCTGCCGTGCATGGGGGCCTTTCCCCCCTCACACACACCTGCCACTTCTGGGAGCCCCCCAGATCCTCATCTATCTTTCTGGGCCTCCAAGCCCCCCCACACCTGGCATACCTGTGACTCCCGTCCCCACCACACCTGTGAGCTCTAAGCTGCACAGCACTGGCATAGGGGGCATCCACAAGGTACAAAGGGTGATCCAAAAATATAGTGAATGTTTAAATTGTAGAAATGTAAAGATGCCAAGAGACACATTGGCCTGAATCCCCTTCAAAACAGTCTCTCTCCTTTTGAACACACCTATCCGGTGTGTTCCGGGCTGTTCCACTGTTGCGGACTTCCTGCAGCAGTTCTGGAAGTGCCCGTCCATGAGGATCTTCACAAAGTGTGATAAAAAAATACAGTGAAGGCTGCTGCAGACCGCCATGCAATGGGAAAAAAACATGATGATGTCCTCATCTGCCTCATCCACCAGATCTGGCACCATTCCACTTCTAGTTCTTCCCCAAAGCCAAAATGAGCATAGTGGGGAAATATTTTGAATCAATTCAGGACACAAGGGCATAGCTAGGTACTCTCATCCAAACCTGCTTCAGAAAGCAGGCAAGATAAGCCGGGTGTGGTGGTACAAGCCTGTCATCCCAGCACTGGGGAGGCTGAGGCAGGAGGATCACTGTGGGTTCGAGACCAGCCTGGGCTACATAGTGAGTTCCAGCTCAGTCTCAACTACATAGTGAGACCCTGTCTCAAAAAACCAAAAAAAAAAAAACC